CTGACTGAGTTACCAATGTAATGTTATTTGCAATACATTTTCAGAGAAAAATACTTTCCAATGCATTTTCATAGCAAAACGATTTTTCCGTGACTCAGCGTGGGGGAATTACTAGCGAATCTAGTCAGGTTGCCTTTCACAACTAAGTAGTGAGTTCGATCCTCACTTGGTACACCATACAATATTCGATATCTAATAACTCATGAAAGATCAATATGGCATAAGATCAACCAAAAGATAATTCCTCTTTAGTCTACTTTCCATTTCCAGAATGTCATTAAGTAGTTTTTATTGCTCCACCCCCACACACCGCTTCTCATGTAATCAATATTGAGGGATTGACCCACTTACCTTTCATGGAATTTTTTTTACTAATGACCGATTGATAGCATTGCCAAAAAAGCAGTGTAAGCGTAAAGAGTGCGAATTCGTTTCTCTCTTTTTATCAACATGATTTGTAGGGGCAAGACGTGTCTCGTTTCCTTTCCTGGGGAGGTGGACTTCAGTATAAGAATGCTTTAAACTAATCATTATACAAAATCAAGAAGGAACTCCTGTCCAAGATTTGTAAGGGCAAGATGTGTCTCGTTTCCTTTCCTGGGGAGGTAGACTTTAGTATAAGAATGCTTTAAATTAATCATTATACAAAATCAAGAAGGAACTCCTGTCCAAGATTTGTAGGGCAAGATGTGTCTCGTTTCCTTCCTGGGGAGGTACTTTAGTATAAGAATGCTTTAAACTAATCATTATACAAAATCAAGAAGGAACTCCTGTCCAAGATTTGTAGGGCAAGACGTGTCTCGTTTCCTTTCCTGGGAGGTAGACTTTAGTATAAGAATGCTTTAAACTAATCATTATACAAAAATCAAGAAGGAACTCCTGTCCAAGATTTGTAGGGGCAAGACGTGTCTCGTTTCCTTCCTGGGGAGGTAGACTTTAGTATAAGAATGCTTTAAATTAATCATTATACAAAATCAAGAAGGAACTCCTGTCCAAGATTTGTAGGGGCAAGATGTGTCTCGTTTCCTTTCCTGGGGGACTTTAGTATAAGAATGCTTTAAATTACATTTTCAAGAAGGAACTCCTGTATAGGGGCAAGATGTGTCTCGTTTCCTTTCCTGGGGAAACTTTTAATCATTATAGAAAATCAAGAAGGAACTCCTGTCCAAGATTTGTAGGGGCAAGATGTGTCTCGTTTCCTTTCCTGGGAGGCAGACTTTAGTATAAGAATGCTTTAAACTAATCATTATACAAAATCAAGAAGGAACTCCTGTCCAAGATTTGTGGGGGCAAGACGTGTCTCGTTTCCTTTCCTGGGGAGGTAGACTTTAGTATAAGAATGCTTTAAACTAATCATTATACAAAATCAAGAAGGAACTCCTGTCCAAGATTCGTAGGGGCAAGACGTGTCTCGTTTCCTTCCTGGGGAGGTAGACTTTAGTATAAGAATGCTTTAAATTAATCATTATACAAAATCAAGAAGGAACTCCTGTCCAAGATTTGTAGGGGCAAGAAGTGTCTCGTTTCCTTTCCTGGGGAGGTAGACATTAGTATAAGAATGCTTTAAATTATTCATTATACAAAATCAAGAAGGAACTCCTGTCAAAGATTTGTAGGGGCAAGATGTATCTCGTTTCCTTTCCTGGGGAGGTAGACTTTTTAGTATAAGAATGCTTTAAACTAATCATTATACAAAAATCAAGAAGGAACTCCTGTCCAAGATTTGTAGGGGCAAGGCGTGTCTCGTTTCCTTTCCTGGGGAGGCAGACTTTAGTATAAGAATGCTTTAAACTAATCATTATACAAAATCAAGAAGGAACTCCTGTCCAAGATTTGTGGGGGCAAGATGTGTCTCGTTTCCTTTCCTGGGGTGGTAGACTTTAGTATAAGAATGCTTTAAACTAATCATTATAACAAAATCAAGAAGGAACTCCTGTCCAAGATTTGTAGGGGCAAGACGTGTCTCGTTTCCTTTCCTGGGGAGGTAGACTTTAGTATAAGAATGCTTTAAATTAATCATTATACAAAAATCAAGAAGGAACTCCTGTCCAAGATTTGTAGGGGCAAGATGTGTCTCGTTTCCTTTCCTGGGGAGGTAGACATTAGTATAAGAATGCTTTAAACTAATCATTATACAAAATCAAGAAGGAACTCCTGTCAAAGATTTGTAGGGGCAAGATGTATCTCGTTTCCTTTCCTGGGGAGGTAGACTTTAGTATAAGAATGCTTTAAACTAATCATTATACAAAATCAAGAAGGAACTCCTGTCCAAGATTTGTAGGGGATAGGCGTGTCTCGTTTCCTTTCCTGGGGAGGTAGACTTTAGTATAAGAATGCTTTAAATTAATCATTATACAAAATCAAGAAGGAACTCCTGTCCAAGATTTGTAGGGCAAGACGTGTGTCGTTTCCTTTCCTGGGAGGTAGACTTTAGTATAAGAATGCTTTAAATTAATCATTATACAAAATCAAGAAGGAACTCCTGTCCAAGATTTGTAGGGGCAAGATGTCTCGTTTCCTTTCCTGGGAGGTAGACTTTAGTATAAGAATGCTTTAAATTAATCATTATACAAAATCAAGAAGGAACTCCCGTCCAAGATTTGTAGGGGCAAGATGTGTCTCGTTTCCTTTCCTGGGGAGGTAGACATTAGTATAAGAATGCTTTAAACTAATCATTATACAAAATCAAGAAGGAACTCCTGTCCGAGATTTGTAGGGGCAAGATGTATCTCGTTTCCTTTCCTGGGGAGGTAGACTTTAGTATAAGAATGCTTTAAATTAATCATTATACAAAATCAAGAAGGAACTCCTGTCCAAGATTTGTAGGGGCAAGAAGTGTCTCGTTTCCTTTCCTGGGGAGGTAGACTTTAGTATAAGAATGCTTTAAACTAATCATTATACAAAATCAAGAAGGAACTCCTGTCCAAGATTTGTAGGGGCAAGACGTGTCTCGTTTCCTTTCCTGGGGAGGTAGACTTTAGTATAAGAATGCTTTAAATTAATCATTATACAAAATCAAGAAGGAACTCCTGTCCAAGATTTGTAGGGGCAAGACGTGTCTCGTTTCCTTTCCTGGGGAGGTATACTTTAGTATAAGAATGCTTTAAATTAATCATTATACAAAAGCAAGAAAGAACTCCTGTCCAAGATTTGTAGGGGCAAGAAGTGTCTCGTTTCCTTTCCTGGGGAGGTAGACTTTAGTATAAGAATGCTTTAAACTAATCATTATACAAAATCAAGAAGGAACTCCTGTCCAAGATTTGTAGGGGATAGGCGTGTCTCGTTTCCTTTCCTGGGGAGGTAGACTTTAGTATAAGAATGCTTTAAACTAATCATTATACAAAATCAAGAAGGAACTCCTGTCCAAGATTTGTAGGGGCAAGATGTGTCTCGTTTCCTTTCCTGGGGAGGTAGACTTTAGTATAAGAATGCTTTAAATTAATCATTATACAAAATCAAGAAGGAACTCCTGTCCAAGATTTGTAGGGGCAAGAAGTGTCTCGTTTCCTTTCCTGGGGAGGTAGACTTTAGTATAAGAATGCTTTAAACTAATCATTATACAAAATCAAGAAGGAACTCCTGTCCAAGATTTGTAGGGGCAAGATGTGTCTCGTTTCCTTTCCTGGGGTGGTAGACTATAGTATAAGAATGCTTTAAACTAATCATTATACAAAATCAAGAAGGAACTCCTGTCCAAGATTTGTAGGGGCAAGATATGTCTCGAATTCCTTTCCTGGGGCGGTAGACTTTAGTATAAGAATGCATTAAACTAATCATTATACAAAATCAAGAAGGAACTCCTGTCCAAGATTTGTAGGCTTTAAACTAATCAAGATGTGTCTCGTTTCCTTTCCTGGGGAGGTAGACTTTAGTATAAGAATGCTTTAAACTAATCATTATACAAAATCAAGAAGGAACTCCTGTCCAAGATTTGTAGGGGCAAGATGTGTCTCGTTTCCTTTCCTGGGGAGGTAGACTTTAGTATAAGAATGCTTTAAACTAATCATTATACAAAATCAAGAAGGAACTCCTGTCCAAGATTTGTAGGGGCAAGACGTGTCTCGTTTCCTTTCCTGGGAGGTAGACTTTAGTATAAGAATGCTTTAAACTAATCATTATACAAAATCAAGAAGGAACTCCTGTCCAAGATTTGTAGTGGCAAGACGTGTCCCGTTTCCTTTCCTGGGGAGGTAGACTTTAGTATAAGAATGCTTTAAATTAATCATTATACAAAATCAAGAAGGAACTCCTGTCCAAGATTTGTAGGGCAAGACGTGTCTCGTTTCCTTTCCTGGGAGGTAGACTTTAGTATAAGAATGCTTTAAATTAATCATTATACAAAATCAAGAAGGAACTCCTGTCCGAGATTTGTAGGGGCAAGATGTATCTCGTTTCCTTTCCTGGGGGAAGACTTTAGTATAAGAATGCTTTAAATTAATCATTATACAAAATCAAGAAGGAACTCCTGTCCAAGATAGGGGCAAGATGTGTGTTTCCTTTTAAATTAATAAGAATGCTTTAAACTAAATTATACAAAATCAAGAAGAAACTCCTGTCCAAGATTTGTAGGGGGCAAGACGAGTCTCGTTTCCTTTCCTGGGGAGGTAGACTTTAGTATAAGAATGCTTTAAACTAATCATTATACAAAATCAAGAAGGAACTCCTGTCCAAGATTTGTAGGGGCAAGATGTGTCTCGTTTCCTTTCCTGGGGAGGTAGACTTTAGTATAAGAATGCTTTAAATTAATCATTATACAAAACAAAATCAAAGAAGGGGAACTCGTTTCCTTTCCTGTTGAGGTAGACTTTAGTATAAGAAGCTTTTAAATTAATCATTATTGAAGGAACTCCTGTCCAAGATTTGTAGGGCAAGTGTTCTCGTTTCCTTTCCTGGGGAGATGCTTTTAAATTAATTTAGTATAAGAAGGAACTCCTGTTTAAATTAATCATTATACAAAAAAAATCAAGAAGGAACTCCTGTCCAAGATTTGTAGGGGCAAGATGTGTCTCGTTTCCTTTCCTGGGGAGGTAGGGGCAAGATGTGTCTCGTTTCCTTTCCTGGGGGAGGTAGACTTTTAGTATAAGAATGCTTTAAACTAATCATTATACAAAATCAAGAAGAAACTCCTGTCCAACCTTTGTAGGGGCAAGACGTGTCTCGTTTCCTTTCCTGGGGAGGTAGACTTTAGTATAAGAATGCTTTAAATTAATCATTATACAAAATCAAGAAGGAACTCCTGTCCAAGATTTGTAGTGGCAAGACGTGTCTCGTTTCCTTTCCTGGGGAGGTAGACTTTAGTATAAGTATGCTTTAAATTAATCATTATACAAAATCAAGGAGGAACTCCTGTCAAAGATTTGTAGGGGCAAGATGTGTCTCGTTTCCTTTCCTGTTGAGGTAGACTTTAGTATAAGAATGCTTTAAATTAATCATTATACAAAATCAAGAAGGAACTCCTGTCCAAGATTTGTAGGGGCAAGATGTGTCTCGTTTCCTTTCCTGGGGAGGTAGACTTTAGTATAAGAATGCTTTTAAATTAATCATTATACAAAATCAAGAAGGAACTCCTGTCCAAGATAAGTTTCCCAGCATTTTTAATAGAACTTTATAAACATTCTACTTACGAAAGTCGTCGCATTTATCTCGTATCCACGAATTTAATTTCTTCTTTGCTTCCTTTATGTCGATGATGTTCATGACTAAATTCGTTGCAAACGTACAGGTTCAGGACTTTAAGCGCCCAGTTTCCCCAAAAGCTGATTCCGTGATCCATTCCCTATCGACGTTTGGCTTTGCAAGAGTTACTTGGAGATGAAAGAAAATCAGAGGAGAAGAAACTCATGATTGATTGAACCTCAACTTGCAGGGAAGTGATCCGCACACTTGATTTTAGGGCTTTCCTGTGATGCACATTTGGAATGAAAGATGCAGAATCCAGTTATGAAACTGAAAAGGACTGCTGCTGATAGAATTTTAAGTGACGCCTTCTGTAACATATCCGTCTAGCGTAGTTATCTATATCCGTTAGTGCAACCGTTGAGATCTGTTGTAAACATCATCTACTTGTACCACCTCTGGGGTCTTTGGGGCATGTCGCGCTTAATCTGGGTCCTCGTCTTTGACATTGCCGCTAAGGGTGATCCTACCAGCAGTTTAGAACTCCTAACGGCATCACTCTAAGCGTAATTGGAGCACGCAAGCCCCTCCACCACGACAAGGAGCGAATAAGAACGTCACAATATACACACTTTTATTTAACACTTATTTATATTCATCGTATTTACTCTGATAAGGCAATAAAATATTCTTGTAAAATATACAATATCACTTGTAATTCCATTTCCATCTCCGGTTCGAAAAAAAAAACACGCGTGCGTTCATAATACAATCACCATACTCACTCACATAAATATATATCATATCAGTAAATACACCACTGTGTAAATTAATTGTAACAACCGATTTAGATTCCTTTCTTTTACCATACGGTCATTTTTAGACCCACTGTAGTGATAGGATGTAATTAATTTCTATTTTTCCTCAGGTTAGGTCATTTGCAGTGGTGGGCAGTAATATGAATCCATTTTCGATGTGTATGATGAAATTTGTTTAGCCTTGACAAATATTGCGTCATCCGTGATTGGATCAGATTTTTATCATACTATTGTCTCGACTGTCGATTAGTTGTCCTACGACCATTGTCTGCGATGGACGTTACTCCAAGGGGGCGTACGAAAATTGTAACGCTGCACTAACACACTGGCAAGTGAGCAAATTACCGGTGACTGGCCTGGGAATTTTACTGATTTAAATCCAATCAAGAATCTGTGGTCAATCTACAAAAAACAAATTCGTGGAATGGACATACGAAATACTAACATGTGCACTGGGACATGGTTCATTGGAAAAAATACGAAAAAAGTTAATAATAACGTCATTGTTCGTTTTGTTTCAATCAATTTGCACAACGGTGTTTATCCCTTCAACAACAGAAAATATAACTTAGTAATTATAATCCAGTTAAAATAATTTCTGTGTCAAATTGTTCAAGCTTTCTTTCCTTGTTATGTGTCTCAGAAATATCAGCCCAGCCCTCTTCCTTTCGTCTCCTATTTCTATATTTTATTTGTGGCTACTGTTCAAAGTCTTCAAGTGATGTGGTTTCTGGTATTTTGTATAGTCCTTTGTGATTCGGTGGCGCCAGTCCACGGGGTTCGAAGAAGGATGCTCTTTGTTAACTCTTAAAATCTCGGTTCACATATGGCATTATTTTAAAAATGCACCGTAAATTGTTTTATAATTAAGAAACAGTGGGATTAATTTACTACTAGAAAGCATTATAAAAGATATTACTAACAAATCCCAAAAAAAATCCCAGAGATTTCAAGAATAACGAAATAGACATTGGTTACGATAACATGCATATTATTATCAGATTCATCATCTCTCTATTTGTCGACCGTAGTCGGTATCATCGAGCCAATGCGAACGATCCTTGCTGTATTGCATGTGTTACGACAGGGTTACATACAGTTTTGAATTCAGTTGTTTTCTCCTAGACCCTAGAGGACCCAGTTTGTACCGCTATTTACCTTTGGATTACAGCTGGATGCTCACCTTTCCCTAAGGTATTCGCTCGTAAATGAATGTAATGGATCCGATTGGAATTCGAACTCGGCTCTCCGCTTCCTCAGTCCGCTATCCATTACTCCACCGTAACTAGGGTTACTGCGTACGCCACGACCGGTAGAACGTTAAAGTCAACGATGTGGCTTTGTCTTTACTCAAAAGTTCCACTATTTTGTTTGACCTGTTCGAAAGAAATCGATATTACCTATCTTTGGAACGACACAGGGGAACGCGTCGCAGACAGAGATAAAAGGCTAACCCAAGTAGAGAAGATTAACTTTGTAACGTCAGTATGAAAGAAACACGTAAGCACATTTACAATTCACAACCATTTCTCATGATATGGCGCGGTGGGGGGGGGAGTGAGTCCCCAAAAACTTGACACATAAACTTTTAAATTTGTTTCGCTATCTAAGTAGCAACTCCCATCAAATGAGTTGCATCGAAATTGAGAAAGGGTTTGGGAATAAGCCTAATTGAATAGAGTTTTTTCGGAAGTAAATGAGACTTGAGAAAGGTTTAAGCCAAAATTCAAGACGCGACCGAAGACGGACATATTCTGTGAGATTTGTTCTGTTTCTCAGCTTTTGCTATGAGCCTTGTGTCAGTGTTGGATGATGAGAGTTGGCCGAATAATGGCAAAGATGCTTTGTTTCTTGTTCGTCCTTTTGATCTCTCTTTCTTGTATCTATTTTCTGGAGAAACGATCACGAAAAAGATGCACTTATTATTGCAAAGGATCTTCATTATATGTGGCATGTCTTTTCAGGGCATTGGCGAACCTGCCTTTCCATAAGCTTTTTTTGTGCTTTCCTCATCATTCCCATTTCTGTCATCAATTTTTACAACATATTTATGTATGTTACTTGTTGCGTCTCTTTGCTTCTATTATCTTCAATATGTCTTATGAGTGTAGAATACTCCAAGCCTTCTTTCCTTATTATGTGCCCCAGATATTTTCAACTGTTTCTTTCTGATTTTTGGTATAATGACTCTTTAGTTTGATTTTTCACTAGAATTCTTCACTATCACATGCTCCGTGTATGGTATTATCAGTACACCCCCCCACATATATATATATACATATATATATATAGTGATAATATTAGTGTTAATATACAATATATACATACACACACACACACACATATATATATATATATATATATATATATATATGATAGATAGATAGATAGATAGATAGATAGATAGATAAATATATCACAATCTATAAAAGGCAGTGTGTGTGTGTGTGTGTGTGTGTGTGTGTGTGTGTGTGTGTGTAACAAATGCACGGCCGCAATTTTCGACGGATTTGCACCAAAATTTACATGCACATGCTCCAAGTTGGCAGGAAGGCCAAGACCGACTGTGCATTTCCCAACTCCCATCGATAGTGGAAATAATCGATTTTTCATGCTTCTACGCCAGTTTTCATCTAGTTTGCGGCCATTTTGTACTGGCCAGTGTGAGAGCCAGTAGCTGGCTGCCACAAATAGGCAGGAAAATCCGATGGCCAGCGTGAGAGCCAACAGCTGACTGACACGAATGTTAACTAGCATGCTAGCATGCAAAAAAAAAATCGATAGCTGCATTCGTCACAAGTGGCTCATTCGCTTGCTTAAACTCAACGTTGATTCTGATTCCGCAGAACTGGGTTGGGTGCGAAAAAGTATTTGTTGTTAACATTCTTTTTTCATTCGGTTTTTCCAGTTACGAGTCCTTTTTTTTTTAAAACTGATCGTTTTGTGTTTAGTTCTTTTTTCGTAACAGATTTAATGTTTAGTATAGAGCTTAAAAAAAAATTCGCAGTGTGAGATAGGCAAGAAGTAAGGCATGTAGCAACATCAGAACGACAAAGGGCACTCCATTTAAAGGCAAGGAAGGGCAAAAATATTTTAAGTCAAGTGATAGCGATTGCTGTACGAGTCGTACGATTTTTGAATCAAGCACGGGCAACGCCGGGCCATGCTGCTAGTATATATATATATATATATATATATATATATAGAGAGAGAGAGAGAGAGAGAGAGAGAGAGAGCGATATTGTGTATTGAGGTAGCAGATCGTTATTTAAACATATATTGTTAAATATGACATGCAAGGAATGTCTATTATGTCTGATCATGTGCCGTTCTAAACTCCGTATATATGCTTTAATTGCAGGTGAAAATGAAGACAAATATTGTCCAACAGTTGGATAATTTTTATTAATTTGGTCTTTGATCTAAGCTTTCCGCTCACATGAGCCGTCTTCAGAGTAATTATACGGACATTAAAACATAGATATTCACCATCGAAGATGATATTTTGTTATGTTGACAGAGAAGATTGTTGTGCGACGAATAGTAGACACAGGTCGTAAGTTCAAGATGCGGTTCTATGACGTCATACCACGCGAGAGACCGAAATATAAGCACTAAAACCATATGTCTAGATGTAATGTGCAACCCACACTCGACAAAATTACATTTCAAACTAGTCACAACATTACATTGCATTTAGACATATGGTTCTGATAATATATATATATATATATATATATATATATATATATATTTATATATTTATATATTACAATGAATCATTCATACAAAAAGTAGATTAGTAATGTTAATGATATAAAATGGCGAAATCCCTTCGCTAACAAAATTTTAAAGGTGCATTAACCTACAAATCACTCGATGAATGTTATGATACTTGTTTTTAAAAACCATAAGCTGTATAAGGTATGTCTTTAACACGCAAGTACTTTCGACTGTACATTCAGTCATCTTCAGGCATGGAAATTATTTTGTGATTTGGGGATTTCGCCATTTTATATCATTAACTTTACTAATCTACTTTTTGTATGAATGATTCATTGTAATATAAACTGAAATGCACCACATATTTGATATCTATATCTATATATATATATATATATATATATATATATATATATATACTTACTATGTTTGACAATTTAATTCTCGAATTGACTGTGGCATGTCGCTTGATAATGATACAGAAAAGTATTTATCATTAAGCATGTCCAAACTTTTCTAACTTACGCTTTTTTTTAGACAAAAAACAGATGATTAATTGGTTGGCGAGCAGTAGAGGAAGTCATGTTCATGTTTTGTTGGTGTGAAAAGTATGGAAGAAAAACAAGGCTGAGGATGACCATCAAGTTTTATTATGAAGAAGTGTTTTAAGAAAGAGCTAGGAAGTCGGCACTGAAAAACACAAAGAACAGATGCAAATGGGAAAGATTGAGAACTTTGGTGAGTTCAAATCGAAGATTAAGCTTGATAGCAGATGGACTGAATAAGAATGGTAATGAAAATTTCAGCCGTTTCCTTACAAGGAAATATTCTGCATTCGTTGAACGGGAAGCCAGACGTTTGAAATTAATAAAAAAAATTTCTTTCACGTTTTCAGGAAAATAGTTTGCAATCATAGCTCTCCTCAACTTCACATGTTGCTACTTCACGACAAAAAAAAAAAAAAATCGAGAGAGTTCGATCAGCACAGCTGGAGACGAATCTCCAACTAATTGCCAAAGCAAGGTTATTTACCTCACCTCCCCGCGAGGTAGGATGTGACACAAGGCCGTTTTTTTTAATCCGGGGCAAAAAACCGAGCTCGTAGGCTCGGGCAAAAATTTACCCGCAGACCCCGTATACACAGGGTCGGGTAGCTGTTTACCACCCCAGACGAGACTTTGCCCTTCAGCATAAGCTCGTATGTGTTCCTCCTTGCTTTCGGGCAGAGAGTTCGATCAGCACAGCCGGAGACGAATCTCCAACTAATTGCTGAAGCAAGTTCGCCAGGTACATGCTGTGCTCACCACATATATCCATTGATACAGTCAGTTCACATAGGTGATAAGGAGCGTGGGACATTCCATTACAAGACTTCCCCCCTGAGCTAATTTTCCCATGAAATTTTGCTCAGCACCTCGTCTTTTTGGGGTCAGGACATAATTGTTTAACTCTTTTCCTCTTCCTAGTATTTTCTGTCTCACTAGAAAAGAAACTATTAGCATAGAATTTACGATTATATCAGGTCATTTCAACTGTTAAAAGATGAGACCTTTCCGTCAAACTAGTACAGTAAATTAAATTCTTAGTACCATAGAAGTAAACTCATCAGAACAATTACCATGAAAATATTTATAGAAAAGGAACAGGGATGATAAGTTATGTTCTTTCGACCGATAACACAGTCTTTGCCGTGAATCATTTTTTTTAAATTTCTATCTTCTGCAACACTCCTTTCGTAAACCAGAACGTATAGTCAACGACGAAAACCTGACACCCTACGGGCATTACGACCGGATTGATCGGTGTACGAATAATTTCGTCGTTAACTGTAAATAACAACCGATTTCAATGGATTTTTCACAGTGTTTACCTTCCACAAAATACCCGACACCAGCGGGTGATCAGATGACTGTAGCTTTTTCATTGAATGGTTGATTTGTTTTTTTACGACTTATCAACCATTTTCAGGTTATTTAAAGCCAGAAAAAGATTTTAGATTTTGATTTTAAAACATTTTAGATAAAAAAAAATTTAAGAGATGATTTTGATGATACAATTCCTACAAATTGATCCATAGCTTTGAAGAGATGAAGTGGATTAATTATAAATCCCAAGGTTATTTGCGCATAAGTAAATATAACGAACCTCACTGGAATTTGAACTAAGATTAACGATTTCCAATTCCGAGCCGTTATCCACTACACTACCGCACATCCAAGCTTAGATCATCTGGTATTCCCAATTGGTCAGCCATCAGTCTCGGCCTTTCTTTCTTTCTTTCTTTCTTTCTTTCTTTCTTTCTTTCTTTCTTTTTCCTTTCTTTCTTTCTTATTCTAATATTCTTTATTTCTTTTTAGCCTTTTTCCTTCTTTGTCAATCGATATCTTTTCTTTTCTATCTTCTTTTTTTCTTCGACAGTCTTATTGGAATGATCTTTCCTTCTCTTACCCTTTGCTTTTTTTACTCGTCAATATTTCTTTCTTTCTTTTGTTTTCATTTTTCCTCCTTTCTTTCTTTTTGTTTTCTACGCCAATATTATTTTAATCTTTGTTTTTTATTTCTTTTATTTTTCTTCATTTTTCTGCAATTATGTTTTTCATTCGCTCAGTCCTCCAGTCTCATTACAGTCTTTCTTTAATACTTTCATTTTCGTCTTTCTTCGTTCATCTTCAAGCATTCTTTTTCTTTTTCCTTTTGACTTCTGTAGCCATTTTCTTTTTTACTTTCACCTTCAAGTATTCTAGTTCTTTTTTTTCTTTGACCTTCAAGTATTCTTTTTCTTTTTTCTTTGACCTTCAAGCATTATAATTCTTTTTTCATTCGCTTCCTGTATTCATATTCATTCTTTTTTTTTCACCTTGAAGTATTTTTTCTCTTTATTTTCTTTCACAATCAACTCATCATTTTCTTTTTTTCTTCTTCCTGCAAGTATTCATTTTCGTTTTTCTTCTTTCACATTCAGGTATTATTTTCTTTTTTTGTCTTTCCCATCCAAGTATTTTTTTTCATTCGTCTTATGTTTTTCTTTCACCAAGTATACTTTTTTTCTTATTCTTTTCCTTTTTCTTCCACCTTCAATCATACTTTTTCTTTTTTTTTCTTTCACATTAAAGTATTGTTTTTTCTTTCACCTTCAAGTATTTTTCCTTTTTTCTTTCACCTTCAAGTATTCTTCTTCTTTTTTCTTTCACCTTCAAGTATTCTTTTTACTTTCGCCTTCTCTATTCTTTTTCTTTTCTTTCACCTTCAAGTATTCTTTTTTTTTCTTTCACCTTCAAGTATTCTTTTTCTTTTTTCTTTCACCTTCAAGTATTCTTTTTCCTTTTGACTTCTGTAGCCATTTTCTTTTTTACTTTCACCTTCAAGTATTCTAGTTCTTTTTTTTCTTTGACCTTCAAGTATTCTTTTTCTTTTTTCTTTCACCTTCAAGTATTCTTTTTACTTTTGACTTCTCTATTCTTTTTCTTTTCTTTCACCTTCTTTCTTTCGCCTTCTGTATTATCCACCTGATTATTATAATTGAGATCTTTCCTCACAAGGTGCCCTGTACAGATATCGACATAAAATATCTCCATAACAGTTGACATCTAAAATCAGCCAATCAAATCTGGGCTTCTTTTAACATTATCCTTCTTTTAGAAATCGCCTTTTTTCATCTCTATTCAGCTTTTTCCTTTATTCTTTTCTTTCTTTTCCTTTCAAGTTCTGCTTCCTTTTCTCTTTTCTTTTCCTTTTTTCTACTTTTTCTTCACTCCAAGTCATCGCCTGCCTATTCTCTGGACGACCGTTGTTAAAGCGAAACGATTCCAGACACGATGGCATCTATATTCTAGAAGCCTGACATATCAAAGAAGTTCATTTTTTGTTCTTCTGCACCAATATATATATATATATATTTTTTTTGGAGCTGAAATACTTCAGTGGTAACTTGTCTCCCCTTACGCGCCAATTAATTTGCGTACCGTTCATCATCAAAGTTGGGGTTACTTTTACAACGAGATGCGTGGAAGTGCCTGAAGTCGTTCAACGAAAGAGAAACCACCTTATGATTCAGGGCCGTAGGCTACATGAGAAACGCATTTAATATCAGAGAGGTACTTGTGTAAGAAGCAGCGCTCAACATTCTTGTAACTTTAAAAAATAAATAAATAAATAAATAAAGTCTATCTACATACACTTCTTGTAAAAAATACTGTAGTTTATTTGTGTAATTTGTGAGAACACCAATAATTATTAAATATGGGTTCACCTACAGCATTCTAGACGATCAGAAATTAGCAGCTGATTTCTACTATGACCTAGCTCTAAGAGATCAGTGGTGGAATAACTGGCTAGTTACATTTAATACCCCGAAAACCAAACCATTTACATGCCATCTTCGCCACTCAAACCCAGAACTCTCACCAATCACGATGAGCGTCCGTTCCCGCGGCAAGGCTTCCGTGTCTTGACCGCCTACTGGGACTTCAAGTCAACCCAGACCTCAAGTAGAACTGCTATATACGATTCATCGATAAAGATACTAGAAAAAAGTTCGGTTCCTTCTATCGCTCCAGTTACTCTTTCTTATAAACTCTACATTTACAAGTTCAGGCCGAAAATGGAGCACAGTCACCGTATATTAGCAGGATCCGCCCAGTTTTCCCCCTTTACAGTCTCGTTAGAGTCCAAAAGCATCTGCTCATCCTTGTGGGTGATGAATTATTTTCCACCTTACAGCCCCTTTCTCTCAGACGAAACATCGCAAGCCTCCTGCTGCTCTATCGTGATTTCCATGGAAAGTGTTCAGATGAACTACATTCCTTGGTTCCACCACTTCTAAACTTCACGACTTAAACATTCCAATGCTAGACACATTGTAACGAACCACCATAATTTCCTTCGTATTCCATTAGTGAGACATAAGTAGCACTCCAAAGGGGATGCTTCTCCGATCACTACAGCCTTAACCTGTTCAAGTCTAGGGTAAACCGTTATCTTTCCAACATATCCGCATAAACAGTGCCGCTTACTGTGTAAACCTCTACCTCGAGTAGCTCTCAGGTCTTGTGCAGAGTGAACAGCATTGTAAAAAAATATTACTCAGATGATTGATGTGAACTATTTGAAAATATATATCAAATTGGCATATGCGAAAACCAGATTGTCTTGATATTTTTTATGTTAGTTTTAACGTTTCAATCCGTAAGCATTTTCCAATAAGTAAAAAAAAAAAAAAGTTCTAAGGAATGTTAACATTGCAACTTTTTTTCTGTCAGAGGGTTGCCATGTTCATGATATTTTTCCTTAGAGTTTTCATTTGCGTTTTGAAAATGCTTACATAAAGCAGCGAAACGTTAGAATAATATTATTTTTCAATATCAGACTAGTTTTCATATATTCTCTCTTAAGATACAAAGAAAAATATCGCTGTAGAATCGAGTGATGGACAGTGCATGGAAAAAGAATAAATACAGAGATATCCTTAGAAGAGCAAGGATTAAAATACAAGGATTAAAATACAAGGATTAAAATACAAGGATTAAAAGAGCAAGGATTAAAAGTACAAAGATTAAAATAGAATTCTATTGATAGCAATCAGAAATAATAATAATAATAAAAAACAGCCATTTTCGAGACATAATTAAGAAAGAGAGAGATGTGCGGGCAGTGCGACAGTGTGGAAAGTGGAACAAGCTATTCATGTTCAAGTTCTGATCTAATCTGTCGCATTCACTTTCGCGCTAATGACCTTGTGAAGAGCTTGAATCCATCTGTAGCCTCTCCAGCTGGGGGATAAATAGGAGGATAGACTAAGATTTTTAACCTCAGATCGAAAACGGTCTAGGAGAAAGATTATGCTATATAACAAACCGTAGAGAATACAACAGGATACTACTCCAGTATCTTTCCCACGAAGTCATATTGTTATATACCGTACGTATGAATACTAGTGAGTAATGTCCCAATCCTCATAAATACGTTGGACACTATTATAAGTGGTGGTAATATGCTGTCTAAGTAGTGCACCTCTAGCAGTGGTTTACCTACTTCACGTCGCTGGCGAGTATTGTATTTTGTTGATGTTCTAAAGATTACCATTTCATTTCCAACCTCCGTTTTGGTTATTCCTCATTCAGTAAGTTTCTAGGTTACAACAAAAAATCATTTCTTAGATAATGAATGTGAACTCTGCGGAAAGTCATATTCATGCACATCTTGAATGGACATAGCTTTAAAGATTTGCGGAAACGATATTTATAGGACATATCGCAGGCAAGAGCAACTGGACAACGCTGGATTTTTAAAATTCAGGCGAAATCTTTGCGATCACTTTCGCACAAATGTCATTGGAAAAAGTATGAATCGCTCCCTTTTTTCCCACTCCTAGTTATAGTTTAAATAGCAGGCTAGACCGGGCTTGGGAGGCACAATAATATGAGTTGAAAATCGCGGAGACAGCAACGGATAACTACTCCATTATCTTTCCTAAGCAGTCATGGTAATCTTTTTTTATGATTTCACCCCCAAGCAAGGCAATAAAGCGACTAAGTGTGAAAGAATAGGAAAAAGAAGAAAACATTATTAAGGAGAGAGAACAGTAAAAGAGCAGGAAATAAGAAGACAGAAGATAACGATTGACATTGCATTCAAATTTTTGAAGATTAAATTAAACTGGAATGAAAGAAGCCGTAAGAGAGTTCCCTAAACGAAAAGGTACATTTAGCAATTTCAACTAAAACATATTTGGACCTATCTGCCAATCTAATACTGTGCTTAAATTCCTAAAGTCGATGTACTAAAGAGGAAAGAACATCATAACAATTAACAATGAAAATATTTACAGAAAAAGGCACAGGGAAGCCACGTTATGCCGGTTGGAAGTTTAGATGCCATGTCAGAAGAAATAACATTGCAGATTCTTCTTTGAATTTTATTAAGAATCTCTAAATACATAACAGAAGCGCCAAATCAAATTTGACAGCAATATTCGAAGCAGCAACGTATTCAGAGATAAGAGTCGAAATTTTGGAAGAACCATAATCGCCTAAGTCTTGATGAGATAGAAATGGAGTAAGTATTTAATTAGATTAATAAGAGACAGGAATGTGTCGAAAGCCATGATCATCTTCGTCCGGAAGGAACATGGCACAAAATCATAAATTATTCAACGATCATCGGAATGGTAACTTAATCAACTTCCATAGAATTTCTCGATAGTCTGGCAGGAATTGATTACATTACCTGATTTTTGTAAGTGATGTAAAACAATATACCTAAAATCCTTTAAGAAGGAATATAGCTCCATAATGAAATTACGACTATGGATTGGCGTCTTTCGTATAATAGTTAAGATACTAGCAGCTGTTAGGGCCCCAGCTATGTGCAGATAATGAACTCTGAATAACAAAAATCAACAGTACAATTTTTATAACAAAATGAGCAACAATACAATACTAAAAAATATAAAAATACATAATATAAAAAATACATTTTATAGTAAGATTACCAACAATACATTTTATGATCTACAAAATAAGTCCAAAAATGCATACCTTTATCTGAAAGCATAAAATTACATACGAAATATTTAGATTTCGACATTAAATAACACATAAAGAATGACGCTAAACCAAATCAACTAAGCAACGATACATATTTATAGTAAAATTACCAATGATAAATATTTAAAGCATAATGTTCAGCAATACATTTTATCTGTTGTTGAAAGCATACAATTGCGTTCAAAATATATTTAGTTAAAACCATACACTTGTGTTCAAAATATGTAGATTTCGGCAGAAAGGTGTTGATATGCCACTAAAAAAATCAACCAACCAATAATACATACTTATAGTAAATTTACCAACAATAAATATTTAAAGCGAAATGATCAATAATACATTTTATGTGTAGTTGAAGCCATACAATTGCGTTCAAAGATATTCAATTGAAGCGATAAAATTGTCTTCAAAATATTTAAATTTCGGTATTAAATAACCCATAGATGTGATAATGTGCCGCTAAACGAAATCACCCAAGCAAATATAATCGCTAAAACACTGTCTCCTCCAGATAAAATTTCAGGCATACAGAATGGGAATTCAAATCTCGTCAGGGGAATGGTGAATTTTAAAAGGTTTCCTAACTGTTGCTCAATCCGTAAAGCATAGTTCCTGTCAGACGGTTGCCCAGAAAGAAAAGTACTATATACAAATTTCGACGGAGGCGATTATTTTATTTTCCAATACAAGCTACTTCATTAACAGCCATAGATTTTTTTTTTAAATTTGAATGTTGTGATAAGAAACAATAGGGAAAGATAAATAAAACCTAGTCGGAACGAAAACAGCAACTACCTAAGCTTATCGCACGTGGAAACATGAGTCTGGGATGTAGAAGACACTAAGAATGCAAAATATTAGCACTAGTGAGTTCGTTTGATATCTGTAAAGCCGTGACATCAGTTCCGACTCGAAAAACTCGCGATTTTCAACGTGTTGTGCTTTTTGTGC